AAACAGAGCCCGCAGGAGGACGCGGTCCGCGGTCTGCGCGCAGCGCGGGGATGGTGCGCCCCGGCGGGCCGTGCCGCCTGCTGCTGCTGCTCCTTCTGCTGCTGCTGCTGCTGCTGCAGGGCTCCCTCCTCCTGCTGGCCACAGCCCGGCTCGGCCGCGCCGCCGCCTGCCCACTCCGCAGAAAGGTAAGCGCCGCCCGGGGTGCCAGGGATGCCCTCTTGCTCGGGGTGCCAGGGATGCCCTCCTGCCCGGGATGCCCTCCTGCCCGGGATGCTGTGCTGCCCGGGGTGCCCGGGGTGCCCTCCTTCCCGGGGTGTCCGGGGTGCCCTCCTGCCCGGGGTGCCAGGGATGCCCTCCTGCCCGGGGTGCCAGGGATGCCCTCCTGCCCGGGGTGCCAGGGATGCCCGGGATGCTGTGCTGCCCGGGGTGCCCGGGGTGCCCTCCTGCCCGGGGTGCCCGGGGTGCCTTCCTGCCCGGAGTGCCAGGGGTGCCTTCCTGCCCGGAGTGCCAGGGTTGCCCTCCTGCCCGGGGTGCCCTCCTGCCCGGGGTGCCAGGGATGCCCTCCTGCCCGGGATGCTGTCCTGCCCAGGATGCTCTCCTGCCCGGGGTGCCAGGGATCCCCTCCTGCCCGGGATGCCCTCCTGCCCGGGGTGCCCGGGATGCCCTCCTGCCCGGGATGCCCGGGATGCCCTCCTGCCCGGGGTGCCAGGGATGCCCTCCTGCCCGGGATGCCCTCCTGCCCGGGGTGCCCGGGATGCCCTCCTGCCCGGGGTGCCAGGGATGCCCTCCTGCCCGGGGTGCCAGGGATGCCCTCCTGCCCGGGATGCCCGGGATGCTCTCCTGCCCGGGATGCTGTCCTGCCCGGGGACGCGGCTCGGCGCCTCGGGGCGCGGTGACCGGAGCGGGCGGCGTGCGGGGCCGCCCCGGCCGCGTCCCCTCGGAGCGCTCGGCTGCGGCACCGCGGCTTCCCGGTGCTGCGAGGCAGGGTGCTGGGACCGTGCACGGGGGAGGAGGACTCTGGGGTGACCCCCAGCAGGATGTTTTTCCTGCGGTGAGCAGGACGAGCTGCGCTGCTCGCCAGAAGACAGACTGGCCGGGAGTGACTTGCTGGCACCATCCCACGCAGGGTTACCGCCGAGTCCCACTTCAGAACGCTGAGCGTGCTGGAACAGGCTCGGACCAGCAAATGGCCATTTGGCGTGGAAACGCGGTTATATTAGGTTTTGCCTGTCTCCTAAACTTAGCAGCTTGACTGCCGTAGCTAGGAGCAGCATGCACCGACTTAGCTCCGGTGGGTGGTTAGCACAGCAGAGGATCCCTGCTGCAAGTTAGGGGTGATATTATGGCCACTCTGAAGCTGGTGTAGACGGTGTCTGTCATTTCCATGAAAGATCAGAAAAAGTTGTTCTTGTTGAAGCTTGAATCTTAGATAAAAGTACCAAAAATCATGCAGGAAAAGCCTTCTTGAACTTACTTTGTGTTAACAGGCCATCTGTGCTGTCTGTTGGCATCTGCTTGGACCTGACGTGCTTCTGGGATATGTGTACCACCACTTCACCTTCCCTCCCAGGCAGGGTTAACTCCACCAGCACAGCTCTTAAGGAAACTGGAAGCCCTTAGAAGTAATTGCAGACCTGCTGCACCGGGGAGGTGCCAAAACCGCAGCAGGCTTACTGCAGGGTAGGTGTCAAAAGGTTTTGCAACTGAGGAAGGTCTGCTCTGTGACTTTGCTTTCTCACCTGCTCCTGCACCTACATGCAGCCCTTGTTCTTGGGAGCCTTCCAGCCTCTGTGAGCATGCTTGTTCCTCAGAATATCTTCTCCTAGGATTTAGGGAATTATGGAATCAGCCAAATGCCAAGCTGCATGTATTTCACTGGAGGTGTCTGCCTGAGTTTGAGTTAAACAGAGCTAGCCCTACCTTGTGGGATGGGTGTCTTTACAATTTGCTTGGAACCAGTTTGTCAACTGGATTTGTAGGTGGCCAGCTGTGACACTGCTGTAAAGCCAGGTCAAGCCTTTGGAGAGGGTAACCCCTTCTCCTTGGGGGCATGAGGTGCAAAAGATGTGGGCTGGTATGAAACTACTGCAAGGAGCCAGTGAGGGCAAGTACAAAGAGGACAGCTCCTGAGCAGAGGTCGTACTTGCGGAAATAGATAACTTCACAGTTTGGGTGGGACCTGCAGGAAATTTTTTTCAGAAACAGCTGACTGTTCTGCCGGTTGCTAGCAAGACAGGAGGTGAAATGTGTTAATGGTAGGTAATTATCTGCTGATTACGCTGTCATTAAAATGTGAGACCACCTGTAGTTCTGGAATAGGCAGGCCGTTTCCGAGGGTCATTAGGACAGTGGTAATAACCACATTGTCTAGGAATGGCAGTGTTTGCCTTATTTACAAAACTGTTGAGTTTATCCTTTTGAATATTTACTTGAACTCCTTAGGGAATACTGTCTTGTTCCTGCCTCACCACTTTTTAATTTACTTTAGTTTTTATAGGATTCCTTTTCCTACCTTTCTTAGGTCAAACTTCTGTCAGGTTGCCTCAGTCTCTGCCATGAAAGAAGTATGTGTGTTGTTGCCTGAAAAGCTACTATTTTAAGGAAAGAACCTACAGTACTTCAGAAGGCTTTCTCATCATGACTCCAAATTATAGTTAAAGCTACAACCAGTAATGTGTCTTATCATTCTCAAAAAAAAAAAAAAAAAAGAAAAAAAAAAAAGAAAAAGAGAGACTTTGAAAGCAATTAATTTTAAAAAAAGTATGCTAGAATCTCTTTGGGTTGTATTCCAGATACTAAGTAATGTGGTCTGGTACAGCTTTCTTTTTGCTTAACATCAGAGTGTATTGGAAAAATCAAAGCCAGAAATCAGGGATTAATTGTGGAATGCTTGTAGTTGTAGTTGGTTAGTATTTTATGATGTGTTGTTCCTGATAGAGGGCCAATTAATTTATATGGCTACTTTTCCCCATATATGCCCTTTAGCAAAACAAGTCATCTGTCTGTTCTTAACCTGTGGCTTTTTAGTTAAAAACTTTTTTTTCATTTCTGACGCTTTGGATGTGTTCTCTAAGTAGCTGTAACCAGTGCAGTGTTTATTCCCCAAGTGAGTTCTGCTTTCAGTCTTAAGCTGAGTTTGAGAGTGTCAGTAATGCAGGTGGGCAAAAGCTCAAGATAAGTACTTTTAAAAACGTGGCTAACATTTTTGTGTGCATTACCATAGTTGCATGGGCACGTAACGTGGTGAGTAAAACCTTTGCCCCAATTAGGTATAAAGGAACATGACAATATAGGGTGCCAGGATAGATAAGAGAGAGGGAGGAAGCCATAATAGGTAGGGTTATAGGGCTGCCTGCCTGGGTGAAATATTGCATGCCATGTGCTTTGGCTTCTGTAGCTAGCAAGAAAAATAAGGCAGGAGAATATTGTGGATTGAGAAACAGTGCAGTTCTGGGCTGAGGTTTGGAAGGTGTGGCTGTGAGGTCAGGTGGTGAATATTAGGGGTCCTGAAAGACAGTGAAACCACAGAGGGCAGCTCCCTGCACAGCGAGGTATACACTTTGTGCTTTTAAATGTATAGTCTGCATAGATGAGGTAGAAGATGGAAGGAAGCAGACCAGTTATAAGTTGTCCATGTCTGGAGATCTCATCCAGTTCTTCAGTCTCTAGACAGCAGTTTTCCTTTACCTCTGAGCCTATATTCCCTGCATTATCTTAACCTCCTGTCGATAATTTTCTGTTTGTTTTTTTATACTCTCATGCTCTTCTAGATGTTTGGAGTCATGTCACTAGGTGAATTCTTTGTTTCTCCTGGTGTTTTTCTGAATTGTTTTCTGGATTATTGCCAATTTTACTCTTATTAGTAAGTCATTCAGCCCAATTTGAACTTGTTTCTGTGGGAAAAAAAAAGAAGACAATTTCTCTGATTTTCTTTGGCTCTTTTGCTTTTCTCTTCCAGAAGAATCATTGCTGCCTCACTTCAAGTGACGTAAGATATTTGACAAATGCAGTATTTTTGTATTTGAAGACTACAGGATGCATCCTATAATGGATCTCTAAATAGTGCTGGAAACGCAAGCTATTGGTGCTAGTTAAGCTGAGCAAAATCTGAGGCTTGAGGTTTTTTAATCAAACAGAAGGAACCTCATCTTCCAAGGAAGTACCCTTGATTTGCACCATGCTTTCCCAGAATTTTTGCAGTGGACACTGTTGTCCTGTCTTGTTGAGGAGGTGCTGTCTATCCCTGTGTGTCCCCATTGCACCTCAGTGGACAGTGGAGTTTTTCCCTGTGCAGCCTTGGTTGAGAAGCAGGTTTTCCAAGTCTTGTGGCAGGGAGTGGATCCCACAAGTCCCAGTGCATTCTCTGTGACACTGCCAGCTTTCTTACCGAGGGGGTAAGGCAAAGGAGAAGGCATCATGTCGTAGTGCTGAGCATTCAGAAATAGCTTGATCTGATGATTGCTTAGACCTTTGTGTGGCAGCAAGCTGGGGGACCTGTGTTCTCTTGTGAGACTGCCACTCTTTGCCCTGTGTTCTCTTGTGAGACTGCCCTCTTTGCTCAGGATTTTTCCCATTATGAGTAATACTTTGGGTACCACCAGAAAATTGTAGAGTGGAGACAGAAATATATATCCATGGATCTTGATCTATTAATGAACCTTTTTGTTGTTATGCTGCTGAACTGATATTCCTCAAGCTGCACAGCCCAGCTGCCATAAGTCTACAAGACAACACTTTGACTCTTTGAGTGTAATCTGTTTGTTTTAAAGCAGCTTTTTTTTTTTTTATTGCAACAGCTGTGTGAAAGGATCCTATTGCAAATGAAAATTGGGCTGTAACACTTTTACCTACTGCCTGCTTTCAGGGAAGTGTGGTGCCACAGTGATGGTGTATGGTGTGATGCTGAACAAACCTCAGTGCTGCTCCTGTGCTGTTTCACGGCTACGTAGAGCTCTGTTTAACAGCTTCCCTTTTATGGTATTGGGGTGAGATTATATCCTTGCTTTTTCCCTCTCTGAAGCTGCACTGAGACGTGTGAGAGCTCCGGGAGGTGGGCAGGGAGGTGGCAGTGCCTAAAGGTACAGCAGGGGAAGTCAGGTGTGCTCAGGCACACCGAGGGCTTTGCCCCTTCTCCCACTTGCACAGGAGACTGTTTGCAGGGGTCTGGCACAGAGGCAGAGCAGTGCTGGGATTCCAGTCTCCACTTTGGAAAGAAAACAAGATGCCAAAGGAGTGTGAAGCACTAGCATGTCCGGAGCAGCTGTCCTGCCACCTTTTAGAGGGAGAGTGAGGTTTGGGAGCTCCCCATGTACCATCCATCACTTAGTGATGATAACAACCGCTGGTGCCTGGAAACTGATCCTGCAGAGTCTAGGGAGTTCCTCATCACTGGTGGGACACTGAGGTTTTCTGCCCTCTCATGCTGGCTCCAAGCTTTCTGTGAAGGTCTGAGCTGTACTTGGTGCTTAGAGTGATTTCTCAAGTTCATGACTACTCCTTTTGACATGCAAGTGTCAGAAAGAGTGCTCAGCTGCTTTGCCTCTTAATGTAAGGGTCTTGAGAACTGTGTGAAAATTTTTTCGATGTCTCAGCCTGCTTTCCTTCTGCCTGTGCTAGAGGCTCTTTAAAGGAAGACTTCATGTACTCTGTGCCTGATAGCCTATTTTATTTCTTCAGAGGTACCACTGGTACCAGGCAGCATTGTCCTGTTTTCAGTATCCGATTATGAAAGTTGTGGCGATAAGCAGAGGAAAAAAAAAAAGAGTAGAATGCCAAAAGCCTTTCTAGCTGGGCTGTGTGCAGTAGTCCAGAGCAGTGCTAATGATCATGTTAAAGTCTGGTACCAGTCATCTGGGTTTGAGCCTTCTTGCTGGATTTATTGAGGACCTGAGAAGCTGGCTGGCAACCACTTGTTCTGCACTATTCCTTGCAGTTGTAGCTGGTTTTGTGCACTCCCACATACATGATCAGACTTGTGTGAAAAGAAATATTGACCTCCTAACCTCATGCCTGTCCCAGGTGCCTCTTCTGTCTTTATACTTGCAGTAAATGGAAAGCAGCACTTTCCTTCCTTCTTGCAGCCTCACCACTATTTCCACTTTATTTCTCACCACAGTGGCATGCCCTTTCATTTTCCCCTTCTGACTAATGTTGGGGGAGAACTTTCTCTCATTTTCCCTCTTGTTTTGCTTTGCATTTTCATTTTTCTGTATTCTTCCCATGTCTATATTAGATTTTTGTTCACCTGTTGCCCTGTATCTTTGGTACCCCCCTGATGCTTTTTATGTTTCTTAACCCTTCTTCCTATGGTCTTCAGGAGAGTTTTTGTGCTCTGTAATTCAGATGTGCATTCTAGGACTGTCCCGTAGGATTTAGAGTTGTAGGATGGTGTTGTCAGGGTCTAAAGTATCCTTCAGATGCTTGATCTGCTGCAGAACAGTCTGAAGAGCCCTTTGGAATATATTTGGTTTGTTCAATGCTCTTGGGCATGCGGTGCAGTTCTGGGGGCCGTCCCATGCAGCTCCAGGAGTTGGACTTCAATGATCCCTGGGTGTCTCTTTGAGCTCAGGATATTCTGTATTCGGTAGTCCATGCAGGTGAAGTGGACTGGTGGTAGCACTTTGCTGAAGTGCTGCCTGATCTGTGGCCTGGATTCATTGTAAAGAGCTGCAGGAGAAGATTGTCTGGGATGAGTCATTGCAGAGCAGTCTTTAAGATTAACCTTTCTGACCCTGAATCTTTAGTGTCAGAAATTTACAGGCAATGTGCTTCCAGTAAATTCCTCCAAGTAGCCTGTTCTGCTTTTGGCAGTCAGGTAGGCTTCTTAGATCAGCACTCGTGCACAGTTAGCCCCAGTGCTGAGGTTAGAGTTATCTGCTGGCTCAAGACTGACCAGATGTTTGAGTGCATCTGGAAGCCTGTTCTCTTAGACGTTCCTGTCTGTGCAGATAGACACTGGTTGTATCCATTGTTCCAGTAAGTACTGTGCCACCAGTGGGGTGCTGTGGGTGATGAAGGCTGTGCCTGCTGCTGGTGTAAAGTGAGTTGAAAGGATTCAAGCAGGATCCATGTTGTCCCATCTGCTCCTCTGTCCCCTGGGAGCACCACAACCCTGTATTGAGGTATCTCAGGTAATGCTGTGAGGTGTGTTTTCCAGCAGAACAAATTTAAATCCGATTCTGACTTTGTGATGGCTGTGGGTTTTGAGAGGTTTTAAAAGCTAATTTTAAAAAAGGTGCTTTTTTTAATCCTCTGTGTTTACAAGTAGATATCCTGAAACCACAGGCCAGGTTTGGCCTGCAGAGGAATTTTTTCACTTATTTTCCAAGGTATTGCACGCTCTTCTCTGCTACTCAAGAAAGAGTGCTGGGCCATGAGGGGTCTTTACTGAGTGTCTGTCTGCCATGTGCAGAACTTTATTTCTGCCTGTTCCAGCAAGTCTGCCTGCCAGCTGTGTTTTGTGTTACTCATTTTTTTTTTTGTGTCTTGCTGTTGTGTTATAATCCCAGCTGTCAACTGCACTCATTAAATTCCCATTCCATGAAAGAGAGGTTGCAAGAGAGCACTGGAAGGGTGAATTGTTTGGTTCAGATAACGACAACTTAATAGCTAAAGCAAAAGTCATGCACACAAGCAAAGAAAAACAAGGAATTCATGCACCACTTCCCAGGGCAGGCAGATGTTCAGCCATCCCCAGGAAAGCAGGCTCCATCACATGTAGCAGTGATTTGAGAAGACAAACCCCCATTGATATAATTCTGAATGTCCTCTCTCCTCTCCTCCTACCCTCCTTGGCTTTTTGTGCTGAGCATGATGCCATATGGTATGGAATATTGCTTTAGTCAGTTAGGGCCAACTCTCCTGGCTATATCCCCTCCCAATATCTTGTGCACCCTCAGCATGCATGCTCACAGTCATTTAACAGGGAGAAAAGGTCTTGGCTCTGTGCAAGCACTGCTCAGCAATAACAGAAACATCTCTAAAATATCAGAACCGTTTTCAGCACTAATCAAAAACTCAGCCCCATACCAGCCACTGTGAAGAAAATGAACTCCACCCCAGCCAAAACCAGCATAGTCAAATGGGAAGTCCACCCATGATGCTGTACCACTTTCTGACTGTTACAGCAGTTTCTTTGATGAAAGATGCCTTGCTGTGCTGAAGTGGGAGGTGAAAGTGATAGAAATCCTGCTTTGCTTCAGCAAGTGGTGCCAATTTTTGACTTGGTGAAAGGCAGAAGTTGGGTAAATATTGTGCCTGAATCATGGTGTGCTAGGGCTGTGCTCTGCTGCTGCTTTTGGTAGATACCCAGATGATATATCAGGTGACAGTACTGTTGAGAAGACGCAGTGTTACCTTTCAGGAGGAGAAAACCCAAGCCAATGTTCTTATGTTTTTATTTCATGAAAACGGAATTTTTACCTCAGGACCTGAGAGAAACAATGGGCAAAGAGGACTTTATGTGAGCAAAGTCACTTTAGGAAAAGTCCATGCTGGCAAGCTGCTGAGCCAGGTGACCTGCTGGTTTGGCAGCATTAAGTTTTCCTTAAGCCTTCTGCTGCAGTGGCCTGGCATAAATGCATGTACTTACTCAGCTGTGTCTCCCTCTCTCCCAGCAAAATGAGCTGAACTCCTTCCTCTGGACAATCAAGAGAGATCCCCCATCTTATTTCTTTGGCACCATCCATGTCCCATACACACGTGTCTGGGATTTTATCCCAGAGAACTCCAAGAAAGCCTTCCAGCAGAGCCACATCGTGTACTTTGAGCTGGATCTCACTGACCCCTACACCATCTCAGCTCTCACCAGCTGCCAACTCCTGCCACAGGGAAAGAACCTCCAAGATGTGCTGCCCCGAGACATCTACCGCCGGCTGAAGCGGCACCTGGAGTATGTCAAGCTCATGATGCCATCCTGGATGACCCCAGACCAGCGGGGCAAAGGGCTGTATGCAGACTATCTCTTCAATGCCATTGCTGGCAACTGGGAGCAGAAGAGGCCAGTCTGGGTGATGCTGATGGTGAACTCCCTGACAGAGGTAGACATCAAGTCACGAGGCGTCCCCGTCCTGGATCTGTTCCTGGCGCAGGAAGCAGAGCGGCTGAGGAAGCAGACAGGCGCTGTGGAGAAAGTAGAAGAGCAGTGCCACCCACTCAATGGGCTGAACTTCTCCCAGGTGAGGTGGAGTGGTGTGCAGGGTGCCAGGCTAGCTGCTGAGCTGGATATTGCAGCAGAAAGGGCATGGGCTGGGGTGCGGGGTAAGTGCTTTCCACCCAGAGACTTGTGTCTGCTCCCTGCAGCCTGTGCCTTTGCCTGCATCTTTAGGAGAATTTGCTAGCACAGGATCAGACCAGAGCTGAATTCACCCAGGCCTGGCCTGGGAAGACCCCTGTTCTCTTCCATGGGCATGTTCTACCCCCAGAGACACCAAACCTTTGGATGTGTGCTCTCTAACTCTGACTGGGCTGCCCTGCAGGAGCTCAGGACAGGCTGGGGCTTAGTCTCCAAACTTGTTTTTGTAATAGCAAATTAACAAGAAAGAAGTGATTGCTTGGGGAAAGCAGGGATGCTGTGAGTAGTGCTGAGAAGTAATTGCTGGTTGGAAAGCATCACAGTGAATATTTTTTGATGCCCTCAGAAATAGGATCACATCACCCACAATGGGAAAAGTATTTTTTGTTTGTTGCGGTTTTCTTTTCTTTTCCCTTCCTTTTACCAGGTGAGGGTCAGCACAGGACAGCTTTCTTCAGGGAGCTTCAGAGACTAGTACAGGCCCTGGTGCAAATGTCTTTGTGTTTGCAAACCTGTTGGACTTCAGCACTGTTCATGCACCGGAATGACCTCTATGTTGTCCATGTGATGGATGAGGTTCTCCTCTTTGAACAAAATACACCAGGCAGTAGTGTCTGTTGTTGTCTCTGCCCAGTGGAATCATCACAGGCATAATCTTGCTCTCTGACATGGGGTGCCTTTGCTGCAGGGTGGTCCTGGTTTGGGGAGTGGAAGTGGCATTTGCTTAGGAATAATTAAGACTTGCATTTTGCAGTATGCCCTAGTAGCACAAGATGGGAGGACCTTTAGTCACAGGGCTGGGCAATTTTGCCTGCTGCCTGACCTTCTCCCCTGTCCTGTCACTGATGCACAGTTCGGAAGGGAAAGAGCAGAAGGCAAATGCAGCACAGCAAGTGCAGGGACAGCTGCCCAGGACAAATATCTGAAGTGTTGCTACCCCAGACAACATTGGTGTGGGGACCATGGTGCAGGGAATAGCACTACAGCCCAGGCTGCATCACTTAAGCAGTCCTTAACTACAAGCAGGCCTTCTGCAATTCTTATTTCCATTATTTGGAACTGGGCAACCTCATTTGCATCTCCAGTCTTTTGCTTAACATGGTGTTTTGAATCCTTATGCTGTTGCTGTTTGCTCACAGCTACCCTGGGAATAGGCTGGGAAGTCCCTTCTTTTCCAGCTCTTACCTGGTTGAGAATTTATAAGCATTGTCACCCGTGTTCTTCTTTTGCTGGCATTGCCCCTGTAGTCTATCATGATAGAAATGGAGGTGTGGGCATTTTTGTCCACTGCCTTGTAAGAAAATATTAGGGAGAATGAGATATGTTGACTGCAAATTATATCCCTATTAAGCTCATGTAAATGTTGACTCTTAAGCCTTCTCAGCTTTCTTCAAAGAGCAACTGGTTTTATGCTGTTTAGCTGATGGGATAAATACCAAGTGATCCAAGAAGCTGCATGGGTAAGGGATACAGAGCTGCAACATCCAGAATTGCCCATCCTTCTGACAAGGCCAGAGAGACAAAAACTGCAGGAGAATCTAGCGTCTAGTTGAGAAAACCATATCCCTTGGTTGCCCCATGGTGAGTGGAGGTGTGCATTTGTGTCATGAAGGCTGCTGCTCCTTCCCTGCCTGCTCAATTCCTAGGGAAGGAGCACACTGTCCCTTGAGTGAGCAGGTCTGAAGCAGCTATTGCACTGCAAATTCGTACTGCCCACTACTAGATTTCCAATACAGGCAGCTCAAGGAAAAGGAAAACCAGAGGAAGATGCTTTTTGTGTTTCTAAGCCAATTTCATGGCTCAGAAACTGACTTGTGAACTCTCATGGTTGGCAATTGTGTCAGTCTTTGATTTCAGAGCTTTCTTGTCAATTTATTCAGGCTGTAGAGTTAATTATGTGTTTAATAGAAACCAAACAAAGAGTTTGAAGTACGCTCTTTGGAAACTATTTTCTTTAGTCTGCTGCTGTTTGAAAACACCCAGTATTGGGCCACTTCTGTACAAATACAAAAGCATGACTTAGAAACTTCTGTTGGGGAAAATGGAACAAAACCCATAAGGAGTAGTTTAACACTGTACAAGAAATATCATAGAGTCACAGAATGGCCAGAGTTGGAAGGGACCTCAAAGATCACGTAGTTCCATTCTTTCTGCCATGGACAAGGACATCTTTCACTAAGACCAGGTTGCTCAGAGCCCCATCCAACCTGGCCTCAAACACTTCCAGAGATGGAGCATCCACAGCTTCTCTGGGCAATCTGTGCCATTGCCTCACCACTCTCACAGTAACAAATTTCTTCCTAATATCTAATCCAAACCCACTCTCTTTCACTCTGAAAGCATTTCCTCTTGTGCCTTGTAAAAAGTCCTTCTTGTAGGCTTCCTTCCCATACTGGAAGGTGCATCATAGGTCACCCCAAAGCCTTCTCTTTTCCAGGCTGAACAATCCTACTTGTCTCAGCCTTTTTCTATAGAAGAGGTGTTCCTCTCTTCCAATCCATCTTGGTGGCCTTCTCTGGACCTACTCCAACACATCCATGGTGCTGGGAGCCCAGAGCTGATGCAGGGTTCCAGGTGGGCTCTCACCAGAGCAGAGCAGAGCAGAGCAGAGCAGAGCAGAGCAGAGGGGCAGAATGTCCTCCCTCCCCTGCTGCCCACGCTGCTCTGGATACAGCCCAGGACACCTTTGGCTTTCTGGGCTGGGAGTGCCCATGACTGGGTCATGTCCAGCCTCTCACCCACCAGCACCCCAAATCCTGCTCTCCATCTGCTCATCCCCAGCCTGTCCAGCCTGTGTTGATACTGGAGATTACCCTGACCCAGGTGCAGCATCTGGAACTTAGTCTTGTTAAACTGCATGAGATTTCTATGGACCCACTAGTTAAGTTTGTCCAGGTCCCTCTGGATGTCATCTAGGGAGATGCTTTTTTTCCTACAGCAGAATCATAGATAAATTTTTCACTTATCAGAGAAGCAAGGTCAGTGTTTTCAGTTTATTCCTACATAGGGTTTGCTTGTTCTTTCATATCCAAAATTATTCTCCATGCTGGTAAGGCAAACTCCCAAGCCACTTCCAAACCATACATTGTTACTTGCTAGGTCCGTGTTTTGATCCATTCTACTGAACAAGGCCTTGTTGGTGTATGTTATAACAGGTGAAGGTCTGGAACAGTTTATTGTTGTCACCCTGGGCACAGTACTCAATAACTGCAAAGTACTGACAAAACCAAATTAGCAACTTCCTTCTCCTTGTGAGGAGGGAACAGTAAAAAACGAAAAAAACGCCCAAGAAACACATATAACAGTCAACAGTGCCCGCTAGGCGTCTCTTTTTCTTTGACATTTGTACCAAAGACTTTTGGTTTATGACTCTCTTATTTTATTTTCAAAACTCTCTGTTCATGCTCAGCTCAGGTTGCCTGCCCACATTGCCAAAGCATAAAAGTATCATTTCTGTGCAGAACACAATGATGTGTACACAATCTGTGAGATACTTTACTGCCTTCTTAATCCCTCTCTCTTGCTCTGAGTTCTTTGCAACTTCAGGAGTATGGATAGATTAGTTTGTCTCCATTCCAGGGCCATGGTGTTTATTTTTGTTCTTTCATGCTGTTTCTATCCTAGTTTGTTTTACAGACTTGTTTTCCCACTCCACCTTTTTTGCTGGGTAGTGCTTCTCTTGTTGCAATAACCAGCATAGGTCTCACTCCTAACTGCATCTGGGCTTTGTAGCTGTGTATGATCTGCCACTGCTGACTTCCAGCATGAAGTCAGTCCCTCCCAACTCTTCCTTTCCAGTTATGCATGTGCTTACATGTTTTCTGTATTGGGGGCATTAGTGCTCCAGCCCAAAACAGCTTTGCTGTTGGCTTCAGTAGTGTCACGGACATCAGTTTAGTACTGGCTCAGAAGATGAGCAAGTGTTGGCTCTTGTACTGTGCCAGACATTTTGCATCCCATGATCTTAGGTTGATATCTTCTGCATAGTCAGCCAAGGCCAACTCACTGTCAGTCCCTGCCAGTCCAACTCCCACCTCTCCCTTTCTACTGGGCAATAAAAACTCCTTACAAAGATTTTTTTGCAAAATCTTCTGTAAGCAACTAACTAAACATGGCAATAACATCAACATGACAACAACTATTACAAGAATTAACAATCCTGTCTTAACCAGAGACAACCAACCTGTTAAGCCCCAATCTTTAAAGTCTGTTTAACCAGTTCTTACGATTTTCCACTTGTCATTTCTTAACTCCTTCCTTTAATAGTTGGATGCTCTTGGATGCCCTTCAAAGTCTTGGCATCCATGCCCTTATTCCAGCAGCAGAAAGTCTCCTGTTATAGCAGAAAGCAACGCTGTTATAAAGAACGTCATGCCTAACACTACTGACATCTGTTAACTGACCACTTAGTGCAAGGGGCATAGCATTGGTTTGCTTACTCAGCCAACACCCCAAACTATCCAATTGTTTTGGTGCTTTTGCTGCAGCAATCCAAGGTGCCAATATGGATGCTGCAACAATTTTTTCTGCCAATAAATAACCTCATCTTTACATTCTGATTCAAATTGATAGAAGAATCTTTTTTCTTTAATTTCTCTGTTGTGAATTAGCATGATGTCGGGTGTTAGTAGAGTAAGTCTTCCCAGGCTACATGGTCCACCTTTAAGGTGCAATGGAAGGGCAGGGTTATGGTCTATCCCCACAACTGAAAAACATTTCTTGTGGCAACTGCAGAGGTTTGTTACTGAGCCATGAAAGTATGGGTGATGTATAATTGCACCAAATGTTTTCATTTTTATAGACAGGGTGATAAGGGAAAACATCCCAGAGAGCTGACTGATCTTTTGTTATTCAATCCATCTTGAATAATTAAACTTTGAACAA